TCCAGGGTATATTAGAGGGTAGTTGGGGCGGTTTAGGTGGGGTTTATGTACATTATAATATCATAAATTCAAGCTTTTTGTTTTAAGGGACCTTAAGAAGAGTGTCGGCACTTATTCAGCCCCGGGCGGTTTAGAGTTTGGGGGTGCCCTCGAGGGCATCAGGGCACGGAGGGTTCCAACTTTCTGGCATCCGCTGTTATGCTATATGGGTGGTTGTCAAAATTAGGGTCCCTTTTTGGGTCCTTACTATAATACGGCACCTATTATTTAGGGTACCCCAAAAGGGACCCTAATTTTGACAACAACCCATATGGGTACATGGACCCTTTGTGGAGTTCGCACTCCAGTGCAGGGGGGTCATTTAGGGTGTAGGGTTTAGGGTCGGCCTCCACGAATCATGGCTAGGGGACTGATGTAGATTTCAGGCTCAAGTCAAAGCATGTCGAGCTGTCGGCTGTAGGGCTGATGATTTTGAGGACAGCAATCATTCTAGGGTTTAGGGTTTAGGGTTTAGGGTTTAGGGCCACCTTCGTTGCAATCAGCAACTTCGGGATTGATGTACTCGTAGTAGGCTCGTCGTGTTGGTTCATTGACATTGTTGCCGTCGATGTTGCTCTGGAACAGCTGTGGTCCTACTGCAGAAGCAAGCACAGTCGTGTTCAGAAGCACTGTCAACACCATGGTACCGAATAGCAGTTGTCCCGCCAGCAGAACCAGGCCGAGTTGCAAGCAGCGATGTTCGTGGCATGAGCACTGTATAGGCTTAAAGCCACAAGCCCTGAAACCCTGAAGCCTGAGACTCTAGACCCTTAACTCTGAAACCCTGAACTTTCAGACCCGCATTCCCGAAATGAGACCTCTATGAGCCTCTATGGCTCCCCTCTTTAAAGGATCTGGGCCCAAGCTTTCACAGCTGTTCAGCTCGTTTTAGCTTCGGTGCCAAAGTTTGCAAGTCGGTTTGTTATCGTGTTGGGGTTTGGGGCATTGAGATTTGGCCGAAGCTTTAGCATGTAGAGTTGAAGGGCTTAGGCGTCGGGCTTTTGGGTTCAGGATGTCACTCTTCAGCACTATTTTGTGTCTAAGTGTCCTGTCGAGGGTGCAGAGGTCGATGAAAGCTAAGTCTAAGCGTTAAGACCCTCTGTCCAGCTCTCGTATGGGTAGTTGTCAAAACTATGGTCCCTCTTGGGGTACCCTAAATAATAGGTGCCGTATTAAATTATAATAAGGACCCAAAAAGGGACCATAATTTTGACAACCACCCATATGAAGAGATAGGACTTCACGGTCGACTGGAGGAGTTGACGGTTTGGTTGGTCTTGGCTTCGGTATTAGCAGTGGTGTTCGCGTAGCTTAGTAGGAGAATGCAACGTGTCGTAACGAAGTGATTCCTCAGTTATAGCCCGTCTAATCTTCACCCATGGACCTCCTAGCATACTTTGTCTAGAGGCTTGAAGATGGAATCATATGTCTACTCTGTATGCACATTATATACACACAGATCTACATGTGTACACTATTCATATATATTTATACTTACTGGTATTCAGAAGCCCCAGATCTATTCCTGAGCATTTGTTCCTGCGAATCATACCCCCTGCGCGAGTTCCCAAGTGTTCCCAGAGAGACGGCATCTCAGCACAATATGAGGGCTATGTATCAATGGAACAGGGTTTTCAGGCAGATTTGTATAGTCAAACTATACATGGATTGCAGAAGGATTGACACCAAACCTGAAACCCTAAGCCCTAAACCTTAAACTCGAAACCCTGCAAGCCCGAAAACCCCTAGTCCCCGCAGTTCATGAATCGAACCCTAAGCCCCAAAGCCGAAAGCCATGAAAGCCTACAACAGACTTGTAGGAGCCTTATCCAAATCGCTCATTGCCAAGCTACCAAAACTTAAACTTGCTAAAAGAAGTTGAAGGACACCTGTCACTGCCCTTTATAACCCTTTAGGGTTTAGGGTTTAGGGTTTAGGGTTTAGGGTTTAGGGTTTCGCCATAAAACAAGCGCCGAAGTTCAAGGCTTGGGAAAGTTTCACTATACGGAGGAGAGGGAGCCCGCGGCCATTATGAAGCTCCTCAGTTGGGAAGATCATGGGTCAGGGACGGTTTCGGGTTGGGGGGTTTAGGGATTACGGTTTAGGGTTTAGGGTTTAGGGTTTAGGGTTTAGGGATTAAAGGTAGGTGCCAAAATAATTACAAATACCATTGTGGAGGTTCCTTATCATATTATAAGTATAGCATAGCGGGCCCCCAAAATTCGAATTGTAAAGGCCCCTATCTTAGGTGTCGTTTAGGTTAGGTGTCGGGGATTCAGGGTTTAAAAGTTCTGAAAAGAAGTAGTAATTAATTAGTACTAGCAATCCCTTCTTGATCCCAGAATGTTCGACTATCGTATGCCCCTAAACCGATTAGTCCAAGTGTTCCGTTCTGACTTGAGGATGCCCGACAACAAGTTCTAAACCTTCACGGCCACATATTCGGTTATTCCCCGACCTTGAACAAAACCCTAAACTCTACGCCCCTAAACCTACCTGCAGCCCTGATTTGGCGTAATGCCTTGGGGTTTGGAGGCCCAGGGGTCTGAACGCCGAGATCGCGAAGAAGGTATGTTCAACACTAGTCCTGGGAGTAGTGGGTTTGGGGTTTTAGGGTTTGGAATTCGGGGTTCAGGGTTTGGAGAGGATTTTGGGCTTTCCATAAGGGCTCCATGCAGCCGATGGGGTTCGGTTTGCGAAGAAAGCTTTTCTTCGAGAGGGCGGCTCTCAGGCGTGTACTGTTCGGTTCTTGGAGACGTTTTGTAGGACCTCACTTGAGTCTGTAGACTTTAATTATATTTTTAAGAATCTTTACACCCCCAACTCTTAATCCGTAATGTAAAGTCTGAATAAGTCGCGATACTCGAGATACTATTCCTCAGGGCTCCTTACTGAGGGCTCCTTATTGTAGTTATAACAGCTATAACTATTCTTCCAATTGCCCCAAACCAATGAGGCCCCTATCTTAGGCATATAGAGCCTTAACATGGCAACCCTAAACCCTACCTAGGCATCCAAACCCTACCGTTTTAAGGGTTTCACCCTATAACCAAGCGGGTCATAACCTACTGTTTCGTAAGGTTTGGGGATACCGGTAAACCCTAAGCCCTAAACCCTAAACCCTAAACCCTAAACCCTAAACCCTAAACCCTAACCCTAAACCCAGAAGCCCTAAAGCTCCATTCTAGAGGTGGGCGAGGAAACAGTCTGACAGCACCTTGGGAGATCGGGCGCGTGCTGTCAACACCTACCGGGAGATGTGCGTGTGACTTGGCAGGGGTAAGTTGAGGGCGTAAGGTTTAGGGCTTCGAGGTTGTAGGGCTTTGGAACCGGCTCTCAAAACAACATAGCCCAGCAGCCCAAGCAGCATAGCCTAAGCCCTTAAACCCACATGGGCCCAAAGCCCTGAACCATGAGTCCTGAATGCCCATCCAGATCCCGTACTCCAAGGTACAGCACTGACCAGGTTTACCCTGCAACTTGGCCAGCAGGAAAAGGGCTTAGGCTTCGGGGGGAGGAGGGGGAGGGCTGTAGGATTTTCAGCTTAGGGTTATGGCATCAAGATCAAACAGATAGGGCTCAGAAGGTTTATAGCTTGAGGATTTGGGAATATAAGGATGAGGATTTTCAGCATATATCCCTTTCCCTATAGTCGGGTTGATAAACGACATTTCGTGGTGAAGGTTTCGTTTTGTTGGCGTTTACCGGAGCAGCATCGACGGACGGAAGCGTCATCTGGCAGAGACAGCAAAAGCCAAAACCCTTACAAAACCTAAACCCTAAACCCTAAACCCCAAACCCTTTACACCTCTAAGCCTCACCCTAAACCCGCGAACGGAATCCATGCTACCAGCCCTAAACCTGCAGAGCCTCAAGAGCCCGGAAGCCACATGATACACAGGTCGAATAATCAGCAACACCACGCCCTGTCTCTGAGAAGTATACTATAATCTACCCCCAACCTGATTCCAACTACCCTAAACCCTAAACCCTATTTTGGTCCTCTAATTGAAGTGGAAATCATAGGCTTTTTGCACAGATCCCCCAAGTTGCTAACCCCCAAGGCTCAGGGTTACGGTTTAGGGTTATTGGGGTTTAGGGTTTCGGTTTCGCTAATTATGTTGGGCTGATCATGTTCGTTGGTGCATTCCATAGTCCAACCTCAACAAAGAGCGCTTCGGGTGCCCTTTCTAGAGTTTCGGGTGGAAGGTGTTACAGTGTTGGGTTTATGGTATCTTGCCGTGGAGTTGCCATGCAGTGCATTGAAAGGCTTCATGTCCATGCGCATCGCCAGCAGTAGTGGCAGTGATGTGAAGTCTCAAGTACAGACGTCGTAGCAAGTCGGCTGAGATAGCAGTGTTGAAAGAAGTACAAAGCTTACCGCCAGCCCTACGGAGGAATATTTGGTGATCTACCAGCGTCTACATGGCGGGGAGGAGGCCCCGTCGCTCTCAAGGGAGTCCCCCTTTCTGCTGGAGCTGCCCCTCTACTGGAGGAATGCCGCTGGCTTGCATTGGTCGTGACTTTCTCGAATGTCTTTGGGTGGTTTTGTGTGGCTTTGGGGCTTCGGGCGTAGACTTTGTACGACTCTACCAAGCCATAGACATGTAACGGCAGAAGCGAAAATAAGTTTCACACTAGGATCGCTACCTTTTGGGAAATTACGCCGAGAGTAAGGGACGCCTAACCCAGACCCCGAACATAGCATCCCTCTTAAAAGAACTCCTAAAACTGGAGAGACTCCCTGATGTACTGCTGGAGCCCGTTGGCAGCTTGAGCCTTCAAGCCGTTGACTTTGTGTCAAAATCCTTGTTCATATGATTCCTTTCCTGCCCCGCCTTCAGACTGTTTAGTATGTTTGGTTCTAAGCTTGAAGCCATGGGCCCCTAGTATGGGCCCTTAACCCTGGGATCCTTATCCACCTACTATACCATATATGTACCCTTAAGGGTCCCTAGAAAGGCCTAGGGGTCCATACTAGGGGCCCATATTTCTATCCTTCCATTGCTGACTTGTTTCTACCCGTACTTTACACGATGTCAGGCCTGGGAGCACTAGCCACGAATTCAGCTGTCTGCACGGTTTAGGGTTCAGGGTTCAGGGTTTAGGGTTCAGGGTTTAGGGTTTAGGGTTTCGGGTTTAGGGTATACTTGTAGTAAGCAGCAATCGTTGTTCTCTTGGCGATTATACTACAATGTTGCTGACCGTTTATTAGCCTGATTATTGTTACTATTAACATTATCAGTACTAGTAGTAGTATTATCATCATTATTGTTGGGTATTGTTAATTATGATGCTGACTATTATCATCATTTTGTATTAGTATTTTTTGCTTGGGAGGGCGCAAAGTCAGAACGACGTGCCCATGGCTACGAATTCAAGGGTGAAACATGTGGGGCGAGCCTGCTCCGGCTTATGCTCCGCCAACTGTGTTAGCCAGGCAGAGATCGGCTCGAAAAGTGTTCCCTCGATCCGGACACGGAGGGAAACAGGAGTGCCAACATGGGTAAGGCGCAGCAGGGCAGAGAGGAGGCGCAAGAAATCCAAAGTCCAAGCTGACTGGGCGCGCAGCTTGCGGAGTGAAGTGGAAGAGGGATGCAGGACGTGCAGGTCTGGACAGGGTGGCAGTGGGTAGTCCACGCAGCAACCAGAGCAGCGAAGGCCAGACTGCAGGAGATACGGGAGTTCAACCCGGAAGGAAGGAAGCGATCCACGCCCGGTTGAGAGTCCCATGCCACAGCACCTCGAGTCGCTCAGAAGGTGGCCGGTAGACAGGCGGAACAATCTCGGGAACAAAAAGTGGGGCATCCACCTGCTCAGGCAGCTTGCCACAGACACGAGAGCACAAGTGCTCAGGAGTGAGCACGAGCAACACATCTGCCGCGTTATCCGCCAAAATCCCCGGCGGAAGGGCTTCTGCCCATTTCTGCAGGGTACACGAAGGACTGGCAAAGGAGCCTGCACCAAGTCAAAGATCTCCTGATCAGTTGCATCTTGAAGGGCCTCAAACTCCACCATGAGTTCATAACATAGGTCCTCCCGGGCAGGCGGCAGAGATCCAGAGGCAACACCTCTGACAGCAGGGGCCTGAGTGTGCCCGTCGCTTGTCCCAAGAACGGGAGGAGGAAGGGAGTCCGGCTCGGCAGTCTCCAAGAAGCTCCGGCAGCGGGCCGAAGCCAAAAGGTGTGTCTTCAACCGAGCACCAGTTGAGTACAGGGTATTACAAGCCCGGCATAGCCTGCCCTGAGCGATCCGAGCAGCTGCATTACGGTAGCCGTGCACTCGCTGCGCATGAGCCCCCCACTGCTGCCGGCCTGCAAACGCAAGACCACACTGCAGACAAGCATGAGTCAAGCAAGAGAGGTATGAACCCGCCTCAGAGGAATGCGGTGGCCAAAGAGCCCTGACAGCCGTGTCAACACTCCCATGAAGTCGGTGCATCTCGATGTCCCAAGTTTCAGCACGGCGTAGGAGGCCCTTCCATCTACCAGGCTGTTCCTTAAGGAGAAGGGACCAGGATGACCAGTCTACATCAATCTTGCCAAGCGGGCAAGTGGCGTGCATGATGTCGTGGAACCATGCACCAGAGAGGCGAAGAGCCGCCTGATACTCAGTATACCATGAGACAAGAGCCCAGACCTGGTCCGGAGCAGATCGGGCTAATTGCCCCAGGAAACGCAAGCGCTCGGTATGCAGGAGTGCATATGGTTAAGAAAAGTAGTAAAAAACCGCAGACCCTAGGCCCTAAACCCTAAACCATAAACCCCAAAAGCCGTAAACCCAAAAACCCCAAAACCCTACACCCAATGCCCTTAAACCCCAAAAACCCTCAACCCCCTATAGTAAACCCCGAAAAGTTGGAAAACGGATGAAGGACAAAAAGTGCTGGGATTCCCTATGCATTGCTCTTACGGTTTGAGGCTATTGGGTTTCCAACTTTTGGGCTTCTACTATAAACCCTAAACCCCAAAAACCCTAAACCCTAGACCCCTAAACCCCTAAACCCTAGACCCTAAAACCCTAAACCTTAGATCCTAAAACCCTAAAACCCAGCCCCTAAACCCTAAACCCCAAACCCTAAACCCCAAAAGCCCTAAACGCCTAAACCCTGAACCCTAAAGCCCTGAACCTTAGACCCTAAACCCTAAACCCTAAGCCCTAAACCCTAAACCCTAGACCCTAAACCCTAAGCCCTAAAGTGGCTCAACTGGCTGAGGAGCAGGCCGAGTTGAGGGCTACGGAAAGATT